TTTTGTCGGTGGGGCGCTATATCCCAGAGCCGGATGGCAAAAGCAAAACCTTGGGAAAGATCGGTGCAAAGATGGTCGGAGGAAGAGGGATGGTAGTGAAGGAGAGAATGTGGATGTGGGTGGTCGTATTAAACAAAAATTTTCCCCAACACTAGGACCTGTTCTGTCTGCTGTGCATCTACCAGTACTTCTCTTTTTGTTATCTGAATATAACCATTCTTCCTTTCCCGAGGGCATTCTCGGAATGTAATGTGAAAAATCACCTTTTGCGGCGAGTGTCAATTTTTTCGGGTTTCGGCTTGTCACCATTTTGGAGTATAACCTCAGCCATTTTTTTTCTGTTCCTAAAAGTCCACTTCTCTCTCACGCAAAGATGCCACTTTCAGGTAATCAAAGGATACGCGAAGTTCAGTGCAACGCCGAGATATCTCACTCACAACTAAGGGTGTGAAAATCATCGACCAATGTATATTTATACTAAATTATATCTGTCCACAATGTCATCAATCCTGAGTGATCGATCCCACGATCGATTTTTTCACAAGGATCGTCAATAAAAGGCTTGAGATGTTGTGTTTTGAACCTCACAGAAGTACTGCTCCTGCTCCGCACATTGAAAGGCGAATGTGTCGTGGTGCTTGTGAGCTGAAGCTACAGTGCTAATGCGCGCAGAACTTTGATATGAGCATAATAACCAGGCAACACCAGGTTTTGTGTAGCCTCGTGGGTGTTGCGAACACTTCCACTCCAAAGATTTTCCCCCTTTGAGTATGACTTTTTCATTATACTGCTCAAGTAAAAATTAAGTCGTATTTGGATTGGCAAGAAATACTACTTTGGCTGCGTTCCAACTCACGCCCCTTCATATCCCTCATCCTTTGCAGGGATCACGATCTATTCAATAGATAACGTTGTCACCAATAATTGTCGCTCTCTCAGATGGTATTATATCCTCCGTATTAAAAGCAGTTGGCACGATAAATCGCTATACAGATGTAGGATTTATACGACTGGCTTAACAGAATTCCGTGACCTCGGACAGGCGCTCCGTGGCGCCTTTTCCAAGGAGGGTACCCCTATAACGCCCTATCGAGCAACAACATTCCGTCCCAAACGCCTTCCTTGCCCGCCCGCCCACAAACGGACGACCGTTTCTGACGCTCGTATTCATTCATTTGCTGAGCAAATTATGAAGCAAAGGGATTGGTATGAAGCGGCGGTGATGCGGTGGCCGTCCAACGTTCCCTTTGGCATTTTCTGTTCATAGACGGTTCA